ATTCAATTCCGACGCATTTACATTTCTAACACCTATACTTCACTTTTTTTACATTTATACCACATCAAGAAAATCATTATTTTAACCTTTAAAGAGAGGAATATTACATTTTTTTGAATGCATCGGCAAGCTGATATGGATGTAAAAATTGAATTTTGGATGTTAGATATGTAAATACTTAGGAATTTAGTGGAAAGTATGTAAATCTTTCATAAATATTGTCTGCATCTCTTCGTCCAAATTGAAGCCAACGCAAGCTGATCGGACTCTACTTGTAGATTGATGCCTACATTAATGAGCATCATAATGTGTCCATATCTTAAAGAAAAAAATTTTAGTTATTTAAAAATATTTTGAAAAAAAAATGCCTTGGAATATTTTAACTCAAATTAAGTCTATAGTCGTAATGTATTTTAAGTAAAAAAATGTAAAATAATTTTTTATTATTTTTAAATGCATTATACTTGATACGCCATCAACAAATTATCATCATCTTGCACGAATCTCGAAACATGACAAGATCTTGAGGTAATATTTTGAGCAAGAAATATTCAAATATTGATGAAAAGTCATCCAGAGCTCCGATTTCAGTAAGCTTATAGTCAAACTGACCGGATCGATGAAATAGACCCAATGATATAAAAACTAGCCCGATCCGAGTCGGATCAACCCCAGATCAAATCATTAAACCACCCTTGAAGGATTTACAAAGACATTTGAAAAATCAAACAGATGTCGAATCTAGCGGTTTGTAATCGAATTCAACGAGTCCAATATTGCTCAATTCTGACATCATTAGGACACCCATATGTTCATCAAATGACATCCAATCGAGGGAAACTCTTCAGACCGCCTGATCAAAATTGTTCATAATTTTGCATTAATTGCACTCAGAACACTATAAATAGAGCTCCACCACTCACATAAGAGGGGGAGACTTAAGAGAAAACTTGAGGTTTTGAGAATGAGCTCAATTCCAAGATCATTCTGTTAAGAATTATAATAAGAAATAATTTATTCCTATAAGAAGTTATGAGGAATAAGTTATTTCCTTAATATAAGGAGATATTTTCTTTCCTATTTTATATTTACTTCCTTAAATTAAGAATTATTTGGTTTTCTATTTTGTGTTATTTCGTATATCTCCTAATAATTAATATGAATTAATTAGTGGAGATATTATATGATATATCTTTCCTTTCATATCATTTCATTTTTATTATTTTTCTTATTATAGAGTTCTTGTAAGGGTTATTTATACCCTTGTTCATATCAATGAAATAATCAAGTATTATACATTATTCTGAGTTTTAACATGGTATCAGAGCGAGTCCGACAATTCAAATAGCAAGATGTGTGTCCCTCCCTTCCTGCACAGAGGATGGCAGGAAGGGAGTCCGACAATTCTCAAAGAACCGGTGGCTAATGTAGAATACTTGATTATTCTGTAAATCTTTCATAAATATTGTCTGCATCTCTTCGCCCAAATTGAAGCCAACGCAAGCTGATCGGACTGTACTTGTACATTGATGCCTACATTAATGAGCACATAATGTGTCGATATCTTAAAGAAAAAAATAAAAAAAATTTAGTTATTTAAAAATATTTTGAAAAAAAAATGCCTTGGAATATTTTGACTCAAATTAAGTCTATAGTCGTAATGTATTTTAAGTAAAAAAATGTAAAATAATTTTTTTTATTATTTTTAAATGCATTATATTTGATACGCCATCAACAAATTATCATCATCTGACACAAATCTCGAAACATGACAGGATCTTGAGGCAATATTTTGAGCAAGAAATATTCAAATATTGATGAAAAGTCATCTAGAGCTCCGATTTCAGTAAGTTTATAGTCAAATTGACCGGATCGATGAAATGGACCCAATGATATAAAAACTAGCCCGATCCGAGTCGGATCAACCCCATATCAAATCATTAAACCACCCTTGAAGGATTTACAAAGACATTTGGAAAATCAACCAGATGTCGAATCTAGCGGTTTATAGTCAAATTCAACGAGTCCAAGATTGCTCAATTCTGACATCGTTAGGACACTCATATGTTCATCAAACGGCATCCGATCGAGGGAAACTCTTCAGACCGCCTGATCAAAATTGTTCATATTTTTGCATTAATTGCACTCAGAACACTATAAATAGAGCTCCAGCACTCACATAAGGGGAGGAGACTTGAGAGAGAACTTAAGGCTTTGAGCCTCACCTCTCACATGCTTTGATTCTCCGTCGTCCAAATGACGCCTTGAATGCTACTCCCTCTGTCGACCACCGCTGGACACCGTAGATCACCGCCGATCACCGCTGATCTCTGTCGACCACCGCCGACCTTCATCGATTTTCGTCAGCCACCACCGACCTCCGTTGACCACCACTGAACGTCATCGATTGTCGTCGACTACCTTTCATCACCGCTGACCTTCGTCGACCACCGCGTCGTCGTCAGTCAACGTTATAGCTTGAAAAACTAGTAACCCTTTCCCGCCTGTGGGACAAGGGACATCTGTAATCATCAAATTATAGTGGATTTTTACAACTGGGTCAGACCCCATGGTTTTCACTCTTTACAGGTTTTCACGTAAAAACTTCTAGTATCATCACAGATTGATTCATGTTTATCTGAGTGTGTGTTGAATTCTCGTACAACGCTAAGACGATAATCCATTACTCTATCGCTGCAAATTTTCTTGCACGGATCAATACTTATCTCAAATTAATTTTAGCAAATTAAAAATCATTTTAACTCAAAAAAATTTCTAATATTTTGTTTTCTGACGGGCTGACATTTCTTTCCGGTAGAAACAGCTTCCCAACAAGGTTAAAGGCCCGCCTAGTTTACTTTGGCGGCCCAAGATAATTCGATGTGCCCTGATCCAGAAGTAGCCCAAGACAATGTTTGAAGGCATAGCCATCTTTCCAAGAAACTTCTTAAAAACTCTTCATCATCGTCAGTCATATTGTATTATATTTAGTCTTATGATTTTTAGGAATATTTACATACATCCCATTCAATTTCTATGTATTTACATATCCAGCACCTAAATACCAATTTTTACATGTCATCTTAGTTACGCATTAAAAGATATATTTCACTTTTTAAAAGTTAAAACGAGGATTTTTTGATGAGATATAAAGATTTTATGTGATATTGATGTAAAATATAAAAGTTAGGCGTTATATGTGTATATACCAAGGAATTGAATGGTATGTACCTAAATGACATTTCTTTTATTGTTAATACACCCTTAGTAATTTTATTTTCTTATTCTATTGTTGGAAATATGCTCGGTAGGTCTGCTATGGAAGCTATACACTTATTGAGAGGTTTGATGGAGAAGAACAGAGGAACAAGAAAGATCTACATATGATTTTTTTAGATTTAGAAAAAACTTAATATAATGTTTCAAGAGAAGTCATTTGGAGAGTTTTAGAGAAGAAATATGTTGATATGACTTATATTCAAGTTATTAAAGATATGTATACAGAGTTGTTACTTGTGTTCGAACAAAAGGAGGATTGACCAAATATTTTTCTATTTCAACTAGATTACATTAGGGATTAGCTTTAAGCACATATCTTTTCGTCTTAGTTATAGATGTTCTTGTTGGACATTTATAGGAGTATGTACCTTCATGTATGCTTTTTGCAAATGATATCCTTTTTGTGGATAAGTCTAGAGAAATGGTTCAGGAAAAAAGCTTGAACTATTGAGGTCTATATTGGAGTCTAAATGCCTTTGTTTGAGTACTCTAATTCTTAATACATGAAATGTAATTTTATTAGTAGTAGCTCTAATGATAGAGTTGAAACTACGGGTGATAAAATTATTAAAATGTGTGTACATTTTAGATATCTTGAAATATCTCAAGTCTATTGTTCAAAGTGATGGTGATATAGATGAGGGTGTTATTAGCAGAATTCAAGTTGGTTGGTTGAAGTGGAGGAATGCATCAGGCTTATTGTGTGATAAAAAAAAGTATCGCTAGACTTAAAGGATAATTTTATAAGATTATGGTGAGACACACAATGGTGAGACCCACAATGGTCTATGACCCAGAATGTTGGCTTTTAAAAGAAAAGCATAAAACAAAGTTAAGTGTTGTTGAGATGAGAAAGCATGGGTGGACGAGTGGTTTGACACTTAGAGACAAAATGCAAATGAATATATTCGTGATAGGGTATGTGTAGCTCCACTGGAGGACAAGATTAGAGAGGGTCGTCTTAGATGGCTTGGTCACATTAAACGTCGACCATTTGATGATTCAGTTAGAAGAGTAGATGTTTAGATTCAACTTATATTAAGAAAGGTAGAAGTAAACCTAAAAAGAATTTGACATATTGTATAAAAAATTATCTTTATTTATTAGAATTAAATGAAAATATAACACTCAATAAGACGTAAAGGAGAAAAAGGATTCATGTAGCGGGTGCCACTTAGTTGGATAAAGGCTTCATTTTGTTACTGTATCCTATCGTTGGATTTTCTGTCCTAGTTTGTCCTAGAAGAGAGACTTGTACTAATGGGGAGAATGAGGTGTTTTTGGGGTTCATAGACTCATTTTATTTCATTGTATATTTGGATTATAAGAAAAGGGAACTAAAAGCCCCTAATATATGAAAGAGCACTCTTATTTATAAATGAAAAGAGTACCAAATATAAAATTACGTAGTTGTCTCGCTAAAGTGGGGGTTAGTATAGATTATTTTGGGTATTTTACATATAGGAATCTGTTGTTCAACAACCTTTTGGTCGGCTGGCTCAAGATGGTTGATAGTCTTACAGGATCAACATGGGCATTTTCTTAGTGTACATATTAATTTTCCTAATTTTGTTGCTCATTGATTGTGGCAAATGTGATAAGAACAATAATTTTTTTTAATGCAAAAAATATAATCGCTAATGATACTTCCTGTTTAGGAGCTCTCTGCGCTACGTTCTGGCGTCTTTTTGTGATATCTTGTCAGCTTTTGAATCATTTTCCTCCGAGTTGATTCATTAGTTTGTGTTGTCAGTCGACAAGTCTGATCTAACTATTGAATTTATTTGTCATTTAGAGTTGACCGGCGCGATGAGCTTTTGTGCGACGGAGTGGGAGAAGTAGACTAGTGAGTTGGTAGGCGTGATGAGTTTTTCATGAGACAAAAAGAGCCCGTTGGCAGGTGAGGTAGCAGATGCGGGTCTTCGCGTGACAGCGAGGATGGACCGGCCGGTGAGGGAGACAGCTTGTGTGGATTTTTGTGCGATAGGGCGGGAGAAGCGAGCCAGTGAGTTGGCCGACACGGTGAGTTTTCCACTCGAAAGAGAAGGCCAGCCAGTAAGTTTTATACATGAATGAAATTCTTTCATGTAACATGGAGGGAGAAGCTTAGGAGGTATCTATATTTCGTAGTGGAGAGCATGCACAAATTTACGGGAAAGAAAGAATTTCTTGGAGATTGCCGATAGAGAGTAAGCATGCACAAATTTACGGGAAAGAAAGAATTTCTTTGAGCATGCGAGTAATAAATGGAGTGAATCTGTTGATGTGTAAGCTCCCCTTGTTTATTGTTTGCTAAGAGTGTCTCTTTGGAGCGTTTCTCCTTAGTGTTGCTCCTCTTATTGTTGACAACATAATCCACGCTCACCACACTATTTAGGATTTTGAACACAGATTTGCCATGTAAATTATGCTCAAGGGATAAAACGCTTAGACAAAGGGAAAGAAAGAGTTGCCCCTGTGGGAGCAATTGGGATGATCCCGAGGCTCTTAGACTTATTTTAGTCCACTTAATTGTTTGGTTACGAGAAAGGGGAAGTTTTGACCTTGCTTGTATTGGCGCGAATGGCTTCACTGTATTGGACAAGTGAACCTCAATGTCTTGTCTTATGGTAGTGGGCTTTAATCCGTAGTACTTTTTTTTTTTTTAATTGTTAGATCTTCTGGAGATTAGCTTTGGCATATTTTTTTATTTACAATTTTTATACATGTATGTTAATGTGACTGTAAAACCTAAATATTAAATAAATATTTACACACAGGGATCATTATTCGATTTTTTTAGAAGCTCGAAACTGATCAAATAGTTGAGAACCTGAGATTAATTATAATATTTTTATTTCGGGAACGATTAATTATAATCTAAAAAATATACTTCAAGTCACAATTCATATCTTGTATTGTAAAAGAGTCGAACACGACTCGTTCATATTTCGAGCTCAAGAAGTGTCTTCGTGTTCGACTCACTTGCTTAGCGAGCTTGTTGAGAAAAATAGGGCGAAGAAAAACAAGAATCGACACAAATCCAGAAGAACACAGAGATTTAACGAGGTTTTCGACTCCATTGCTTAGCGAGTTGAACACGAGCCGATCACGAACAAAGAGTCATTATGACAACCCTAATCACATAGCCATCATATGTTAAGGATTGGGTCAAGATTTAAAACATCATTTGAATCTAATTTAATAATTTTTATTCTATTTTCTTTATTAATACTTTTAATTATTATAAATCTTTGTAGTCTTGTAGTAAATTAAATTTAAAAAAAACCATTCATTAAAGGTCGAACACGACTCGTTCATATTTCGAGCTCAAGAAGTGTCTTCGTGTTCGACTCACTTGCTTAGCGAGTTGAACACGAGCCGATCACGAACAAAGAGTCATTATGACAACCCTAATCACATAGCCATCATATGTTAAGGATTGGGTCAAGATTTAAAACATCATTTGAATCTAATTTAATAATTTTTATTCTATTTTCTTTATTAATACTTTTAATTATTATAAATCTTTGTAGCCTTGTAGTAAATTAAATTTAAAAAAACCATTCATTAAAGATATATATAGTATTTTAAGTAGACTAGTGAGTTGGTAGGCGTGATGAGTTTTCCATGAGACAAAAAGAGCCCGTTAGCAGGTGAGGTAGCAGATGCGGTTCTTCGCGTGACAGCGAGGACAGACCGACCGGTGAGACAGCTTGTGTGGATTTTTGTGCGATAGGGCGGGAGAAGCGAGCCAGGGAGTTGG